TGCTCTGATGAGAAAAATAAAAGGTGGGCTTTAATGCAAATAAAGGTTCAGAATTTCCAGAAAAACTAGCAAAGGGGTCAATTTCCAGTCTGGCAATTCATCAAACACTGTCCTTCAAAGAGATCCCAATTCTTCTTGACTTTGTTGCTCATTTGAAGTTTTATTTGTGTACCTTTAGTGAAATTTGAAGTTTCTTCATTATATTCTCAATAATGAGAAAAGTTTCAAATGTCAATATTGTGTCCTGTTCTTCACAGCTTAATCCCAAGTAGCTAGTGAGGAAGCTGGTGACTACAGATGTTATCTGCACAGATCCTGGAGAGGACACATGCTCACACCCACGACAGGGAGAAGCTGGGTCAGGGCTACTGCAGCAAGTGACCTTTGCCTCTGAGCTCAGAGCAGCTGCACAGGGCCTCAGTCTTAACCTTCCCCTTAGAGAAAATCATTTTCTCATGAAAAAGTCTCTAACCAAGCTAATAAATAAAGGAGGTATAAACTAAAATATCAATTTATTAAGTTGCAGTGTAACCATCAACCACAATATCTATAATTATGGATCAACACATTCTTCCTTACAGATGAATTAATAAAATTAATAACAGTTTTCCTGGCATCAGTTATTAGGATATTAATTAAGTGATGAAGGCCAAGCTGTGTGACAAGTGGCTGGATGCACAAATCTCACTTCCAAATGAGGAGCAGAGGTCCATAGAGATGCAGGTGTCCCATCATCCATGTGGCTGAGCTGCGGGCTGGGGTTCCCCCTGAGCATAGCACCCCACCACCTCTCAGAGGAGCGTCCCGCCCTCCCTGTGCCTGCCCCTCATCCACCCTAGTGTCACGCTGGCCTGGGCCAGCCACAGTATGTGACATGGTTGCTACAAGCCTTCCCTGTGAGCTGTGGTCTGGTCTCTCTGATGGCCATCACCTCTTTGACGTGATAGGTCTGATCTAAGGTAATATTTATATATTTTTATCTGTAATGTTTCATAGTAAAAATGCCCCAGGAAATTTTAATTTTCCTTACTTGCAAGTTGTCGGGCAACAATGCACAGTGCTTTGTGACTCGGGTGCCAGCCCTGAGAAAAAGCAGTCACTGGTGTGAACTGGGATTTCCTGTAAGTGTGACCCAGACGTGGGGCTGTTGAAGTGACACTGTGTCTTCAGGACTGCTGCTGCTTTACTATGTCACAGTAGGTTTCATCAGAGACTGTGCAGAAGGAAGTTCTCTAACGAAAAGCAGTCACTGGTGTGAACTGGGATTTCCTGTAAGTGTGACCCAGACGTGGGGCTGTTGAGGTGACACTGTGTCTTCAGGACTGCTGCTGCTTTACTATGTCACAGTAGGTTTCATCAGAGACTGTGCAGAAGGAAGTTCTCTAACGACGAGACAAAACTGAAAGATGTAGGTAAAGTTAATTGCCTTCTCAGAGAGCAGCATTAAGCACTTGGCAGTTAGAATCCTTTTCATTTGTAAGTGGACCTGGCAGAGCACGTTTAAATCTTTCAGTGGAATTATAATGTTGAATAAAGTTGTTGTACTAGAATATAAACATGGAACATAAGAAGTTCTTGTTTCGTACTGTGGGGTAGAAGTTACTTGAGATGCTATCTCGAGTGGTTTCCTCTGCGGATTATCCTAAAATTGTATTCTGCGTTCTGTTGTGCCCACGTGTCCCGGCACATGCGGACAGTCCTCTGACGTGAGGTTTCACAGGAGTAAATCATCAGCCTCTCAAAGGATGGTTGCAAGTGCTGACATGAAAAGCCCGACGTTTTTTGTCCTCTGAAAGTTTCGTTCCTCAAATGAGATGCCCACCGAGAGAAAAACTCAGAAATGTGGCCAAAACAGTGATGATAAAGAAAAGCCCTCTGTTCTCTGCCTGCTCTGCAGAGTCTCAGTTCCTGCTCTGAGCAGAGCAGGCAGCTTCTCAGCAAACGCTGCACGTTTCCATCTCAGGGCACGCATTAGCTAATGAGGTGCTAGTGATTTGGTCAATGAAGAAAAACGCTGAAAAATAAATAGGGCACCCTAAAATAAAACCAGCTCACCTGTGCAGCCTGCCGTGTTCCTCTTCAGGAGGGGGCCTTGCTCCGGCTTCACCCCTCGACTTTGGGACGCAGAGCTCGGATCGCGCAGCAGGAGTTCTGGGCCTGGCTTGTCTCGCTTACTGTAATGTGTAAGAAAGTCATTGCCGCTGCACATACCAGTGTGGGTTTTTATTTTGTTTAATTTTTAAATCGCTGTTCAGTGTTCCCTTAAATCGACAAATCACAGCTAAATGATCCCATTGGCCAATTTGGATTGGTTTTGGTTGTTCACTATTACGAGCAGCACTGCTACG